GTTGCCAAATAGATCAACACGGACCAAACATTTGAGATAAAAGTGTTAATCTTAACAAATATTATTTAATGCAAAGGACGGCGGTTGTCTCGCAGTGTGTGTTCGAACTTCGTATAAACAATGTATTTTACACGTACCACGTGTATATGTCACTACAGGTCTCATATCGAACACTACACAGCGCGGGCGACCACCGCCCCTTTACCTAATTTGTTTAATTCTGATGTTAGCAATTTATACCAACAATGTATATTTGATTCAGAAATGTGTCTAGACGCGTGACGTGTGAGACGAATTACCATTGACGATTCTCCTCATTCAGTATGGCGCTATAGGGGATTCATTATTGTTCAAATAATCTACAGCAGTGACGTAACACGTGTATAACAACTTCAATCTCAACATTAGTATATCGTGTATAATGACTTCGTGTTAGAAATATCAACACAATATTAGTGAATATAATACGAATTATTAACTGTACTATCGCAATATATAACACAGTGATAAGTAAAGAATTGAAAGTACAGAGCTAGCCGTAAATAAAATTTTTGTTTCTACAGTGTACTACGTGTGTGATGATGGACAGGTTCTATCTCAAAGAAACTATTCTTGTAATGGATATACCGAATGTATTGACCAAAGTGACGAACAGGATTGTCGTAAGTTTCCAGTCCTACTATGTTTATGGAGTATATTACATCACTGTATAGCTAACTGCTAGGAAACTAAAAGTGTGACTGTGCCGTGTTGATTAACACCTGTATTTATATATGTCGTATGTTTGTGTGTTTTTCAAATTAGTTTTGCTCTTGAATAAATGTTGTTTGTAATGGATTGACACTCGTTGAAATCGCGAACTATATAACTATACACGGACTATATTTTCTAATTTAATTCATTTTTTTATGGGAAAGTATTATAAAGAATATAGGCATAATAAATCAAACATATTTTATTTCATAGTCTAACATATTATATTCGTTTTAATTAGCATGTGATGAGAGTGCTGATAGATTTCGATGTGATAATGGTCTTTGTAAGTGGTATTATGATTGGTGTGACGGATATGACTCTTGTGGTGATAATTCTGACGAACAGGGTTGCGGTAAGTTATTTTTTTCAAATATATCACTGTCATATATCTATACGACTGTTCTGTGATGCGATATTCGAATTACAAATTACCACCTTGTCATCTATAGATATTAGAAATGCTCTCTCACTTTTGTTTAACTGGCAATGTCATCTAAAAATACGGAGAAAAAGTTTGCTATCTTAAAAATAATAGCATGCCTATTATATTACAATGTAGGTTTTAATTAACTCACCTGACATTCCATGTACATACAGTTAAGTCACGTTGCACTGTACGTTCTTGGTACACATTAGAGTACATCTTTATCACTAATAGCTATTTGAGTATAGTATGAATATGTTTATATTTTGCAGTAACTCACGTCTGTGAAAATGGTGATGAAATAACGCGACAACCAGGCCATCCATCTCCTGTCTGTGACATGAATTTTGATTGCTCCGATAAAAGTGACGAGAAAGGTTGTGGTGAGTGAATTGTTCTTACACGCTGATTTACAATACAACTACCTCCAGGTCACCCTTGGGCAAGGTGTAGCACCTGTGAGCCTTGGGTGCCAACTTCCCACATAACAAGTTCAGTTGATGTCAGTAAGGGCATACGGTCGCAAAACTCCTGCACGAACAGATCCGTACAGGTGGAAAATTTTTCATGTAAATATGTAGATATTAGTTTCAGTTGTACTTAGCATTTGGCAGGGGGGGCCGTAACCTCTTGTGGTGAGAACCAGTGTGACTGGCCTGCCAACGGGGTGCTAAGGATTTCATTGGAAAAGTTATTAGTTACATCCGTTAATGTAATTTCGTTTTACATACCCGTAAATCAAAAATCACAATATAATACAATACAATACATACACTTTCGATCCCATGATTGTAATGTGCTTTCCATGTCGTTCATCTTGCAGAATGTCGTGCGTATAGCATGCGGTGTTCAGAGACGGGATATTGTATACACAATTACAAACTCTGTGATGGCAACGACGACTGTGGAGACGGTTCAGACGAAAACAATTGTGGTAAGTATGAATAATATAATCAATTATAAACAGCAACTGGGTGCTATACAAATATTTCTCTTCTTTGTGCGACGATTATTCGTTCTTCGGAGAAACACACCTTCATACAGGCCACAGCTCACAGCTAATAACTGCAGTGTCATTGTCAGTGGAAACAAAGAACGTGTTGTGTACAACAGCTGAGTCCGACATAGCCTTACTGGGCACTGCAATTTTTATAATATTTTCTTTATTTGTAGGAATGTTTTGGTTGCCCTAAGCTTATAAACACCGATTCATTTTAGACTTATTGAATCGTGATAACTACGATAATATCTATGGCGTTCTTCATGAGTATGTCAGTAAATGTTACTATTTTCATCAGTTTGCAGAGAAGACCAGTTTCGTTGTGATAATGGAATATGTATGGCGTTGTCATGGAAATGTGATGGTTATGACGACTGTGGGGACAATTCTGACGAACAATCATGTGAAGAAAAGTGACGTTTTACTTGTCAAAAAAGTCATTAATATTGGCCTCCTTAAACACCAATACACACGTAATAAATAGTATGAATAAAAAGGAGTATCATTACAAATACTATAGAAATAATATTATCTTTGTCACTTTCTTCTTCTAATGACAATTTTTAACAATGTATCGACTGTGTCTGTAAGTACACATGACACTTTATAATATCACTTGTCAAGATAAGTCTTATATTGATGTAGAAATGGCAACAAAACATGACGGTTACAATTCCTGGTAGTTCATGAATACATAATTAAAGGTATAGATTGGTGAACTCTCGGCCCCTAAGTTATGTTTTTGTTTTTTACGCACTGTTTGCATTTGCGATTCTACTTTAAGCAGAGAATAATAAAACTGTCTTATAATATGCTTACGTGTTAACGTGAGTTATATATGTTCTTAAAAATTATATCCCAGATGTGTTTTCTTTTTGTATTTTGCCTTCAATCAATAATGCCTGAAATGATAAGTAGACCTAACTATAAAACATATATTGGGAGAAGTCATTAGTCAGCAGTCATTCACCAAGTGCAAATTGTACAGATAACTATATATTAGTAATATAAGACCGTTTACTATTTTGTGAAATCTTATTCATAGTAAATAGATAAAAAAGTCTTAAATTGCCTCTTACAATCAAATACATTAATACTTTTCATTATTCATGTACAATTTTGCAATTTTTGAAGAACATTAAACATGAAATTATGGACCGAAACAATGTGACATCAAGACTGTCTACATATAGGATGCGTAAAATACAGTAGAGTATTAGTTTAAGCCTGTGAGTCACGATCCTACATCTATACCTTGAGTAGTTGTCGCATAAAATGTCTAATCCTAATAAAGTATGCTATTAAGGTGGTTTTAATTAATCATTTTAGTTCAAATTAGTTAACTTCATTATAATTTTTAATTAAAATTAAAAATAAGTTTGGTACTAGTCCCAACTAGCCGACAGAAGTATATTTGTGTTGACTATATTAAAAAAAATAGCCTGCTTACTGCTCACGTTAAATGTGTTATAATTAAATATAAATTGGGCTTTGATAACACAGAGAAACCACCCGATTTTGTTACTTGGTAATGTATATAGAGAACCAGAAAGCTCACAATATGCTGACAAAGATTTTTTCGATACTTTAGAATCTGAAAAGTTAATTTATACCAGTAAATATGAGTGTAATATTATAATTGCAGGAGATTTTATTGGTAGAACAGGTTGCAAATCTGATGGTATTGATCTGGATTACACATACTTGCCAATGGAGGGGTTTGAAAATATGAGACAAGGGATTGAT